ACATTGACAGTGGAATGGAACAGGAAGAGGTGGGTGGTAGAGAGAAAGAGAATAAAATGGGGTGGGGTGAGAAGGGGATGTCCTTGTGTTTTTTCACCTTGGAGACTCTCATGTGCTTTGTCTCTGCTTAGTTGTGTTGAATCCTGGAGGGAACTTTAAACAAATTGCTGTCACATTTCTACCAGTAATGGCTCTTTCAGGAATCTGTCCTACCCCTCACAGTACTGAGGACTGAGCCCAGAGCCTGTGTGGGCTAAGCAAGTGCTCCATGACTGAGCTACTTTGCCAGTGGCTTTTGTTTGTTTTACTTTTAAAACAGTCTTGAGTAAGCGGAGGCTGGTCTGAACCTGCAATCTTCCAGCCTCAGCTTCCCACTTAGCTGGAATTATGTGCAAGTAGTTGGGATTATATGTATGTGCCACCATGCCCAGCTGAGAGTCCCTTTTATTGTTGCTGAGTTTCATCTGTCCATTTCCATCATCTACCCATCCATTTGTCTATCTATCCCTTTATCTCCATGCAACGTCCATCCATCCATTCATCCAACCTTTCTACTGTTCAATCATCTATCATCCATCTGTCTGTCCTTCCATCCATCCATCCATCCATCCATCCATCCATCCATCCCTCCCTCCCTCCCTCTGCCCATCTGTCTCTCCATCTATCCAGCCATGATTCATCTATTCCTCCCTCCCTCCCTCCCTTTATCCATTTGTCTCTCCCTCCATCCAGCCATTGTCTATATACCCATCCATCAGTCCTTCTGTCTATCTGTCCATCCATCCATCCATCCATCCATCCATCCATCCATCCACCCACCCACCATCCTGCAGCCACACACAGTGTATGCAGTTCTAGGCAGCTGTTGGGGACCCCTTTCTGATCTCAGGGACAACACAGACTCTCAAAGTTCAAGTCCTTGGCTGAACACCAGGTGCTTCTGGTCTCCTCCTGTAAAGTGGCAGGGACAACACTTGTATGGAAGAGGACCGAAGCCCGAGGGAGACACCAACCAAGGAGTTAAGGCAATTGGGGCAATGGTGCACCATAGTCCAGCAAGCTTGGGAGAGTCCTAGGGAGCTCTGGGGAGCTTGACGACTGTCAGGCCTTTGGGTTTTACTCTGGCTATGGGTGCTTGGGACCAAGACATACATTGTTAGCAGGTGCCTTCCTCTGGTTCTACTTCAGGAAAATGTGAGTTCTAGGAGACATGGTCGTTGGAATTGCCCTTCCCCCACCCAGCCTTTTACAGGTTGGGGCAGGTGAGATTGTAGTTTCTCCTTACTGTGGCTCTGGGCCCTGAAGACATCTGAGAAGCTAAAATGAGCTCATGAGAGGGGGTGGGTTGGGCCAAGTTGGGCTTTCTCAAGAACTTTCTCTTTAAGTTGTCTGGTGTGTGTGTGTGTGTGTGTGTCTGTGTGTGTGTGTGTGTGTGTGTGTGTGTGTGTATTTCTGTGTGTGGGTGAGTGTTGGGAATGAGGTCTGAACACAGGGACCAATTCCTGGAAACTTTCTCATCAATCTCCACCACACTCCTTGGATGAAATCACCCTAGGTCTACTTCACAGTAGAGCAAACAGAGGCTCAGGAAAGTGAGCAGTGACTGGCCTCTAGTTCCCCAAGAGGATAACATGGGAACCCAGAGCTCTTCATTGAGCAGGCTTCTGAAGCCCCTTGGGAGTTTGGTGAGCCACTAGGTTATTCAGTCAACTCCTGAGTAAGCACGGTCCTCTCCCATGCCTCCCTGGGCCGAGGATATGGAGAGGCAGCTGCCGGATTAGACGCTGTAGGAATGTGCATAGCCACACGCCCATGGCTGTGTCATAGGCCTGCAGGCAGTACATGCATGTACCCTCGTGTTTTATCACACACCATCTCCAGAGCATGCTTTTTCTGTGTGTGTTTCCAACTGTGTGTTAAAGGGATCGAACACCTGCTTCTGTCAGTGCCCATGTGTCCACAAGGGAAGGTGTGGATATGTGTGGCCCATACGTGTCTGTGCTGTTCTTACACATGTGTTTATACTCCTAGAAGAAGGGGCAGGAGGGTGGTCCCAGTGTGAGTTCTGCTGTCCCGGTGGGTGGGCCTTGGGGCTCAAGGGTTCTATATGGACAGGTGGCTAGGGTACCTGAGCAGCAGGAGACCCATTCTCTCTCCTCTCCCCACCCCCTGCTCCTCTACTTTTCCTCTTTCTCTTTTCAACCACTTTCCCTACCTCCTACGCCCCTCCTTCTCTTCTTTCTCCCTTCCCCGTGCCTCCAGCTGCTGTCACAGCCTGTCTTCAGAGAAGCAAGGGAGGAGTCCTCCCCATCCCCAGCTTCCCATCCCATTCCAAACAGGCCTCTCTACAAAACTCACACCACACGTGGCCAGAAAAGCCATCAGCGGAGATGGGGGTGTTTTAACCCTCTCCCCTCCCCACCACAGAATCTACCACAGCCAGGACACCCCGGAGGAACAGAAAGAGAAGCTGACGCATGTGTGGACTGAGTGCCATCTCCGTCACACAGCTGTGTGACCTTGGGTAAGTCCCTTGCCTGCAGCCTGATGATGGCACACCCACACCTTCCAGGACCCATGCAGAGGAGTTGCTGTGAGGGTGCTCCTGACCCAGCAGGAACTAAGCCAGCCCCGACAGGTTTGTTTAAAATCAAACCCCACAAAACTAAGATGTCCATCTGCTCAAGGAACTAGAGATTAGATGCGGGCTCTGTCTAGACCAGGGACTCTCCACCTTCCTGAGGCTGCGACCCAAGGCGGTAACCTCAACCATAAAGCTATTTTGTTGCTACTTTATAACCGTGATTTTGCTACCGTTATCAATTGTAATGTAAATATTTGATGTGGGAAATCCCCCCCCCCCCCAGGATTTCAACTCATAGATTGAGAACCACTGGCCTGGAATGGATTTATGAACCTGGAAGATGCTCTGAACCAGCAGGTGACCCCAAGGCTATACACAGAGCACGTTCTTGGGTTTCAAAAGAAAAAGAAAAAGGTGGGGAGGATGAGCAGCCCCGCTTCACCACAGTGCCTGGAGTTCTGGGTGATGGAGATCTCCTGTGGATCTGAACTCTCTAAATCCTTCACAGTGAGCAACTAGTTGTTATCTGATGAAGATCCAGGTGCTGTATGCAAAGGGGAAGGTCGGCTGATTTGCAGGGCTCTTTCGAGGGCCACAAGGACAACTGAGCGGGTTCCTGTCCTGCTGCCCATTTCAAGCAGCTCAATGTGCCCTCTCCCTGTCCTCTCCTTTACCAATGCCAAAATGGGCCAGCTTCCCAGCCCGAGCCCGAGTGACAAGGGACCCAAAGGCAGACCACTACCATTCATTTTCATCTCATTTCTGCCTTTCTGGTCTTATCTCTCAGGCTCGAGTTGAAAGGGAAGCAGTCTCCCCAACTCCCACATCTTCAAGTCAGGAAACTGAGGCAGAGAAGAGAGAAAGGCTTGCTTCCAGGTGTGGCCTCGGGCCTTATAAATCATATTCAGGAGCCTGACATGCAGCTTGGTGGCTAGAGTGCTTACCCAGCATGCATAAAGTCATGGGTTCAATCCCTGGGTTATATGACAAGACTCTGTCCCTAAAAACAAAGCACAAAACAGCCACAACAAAAGTCATTGCCAGCCCTGCCCATCTAGCCTTTTTCTAAAGACAGCACGTTCTTAAGGAGGCTTGGAAACCCACAGGCCCACTCCCCATAGCCCGTCAGCCTAGCAGCCTTTTCTGCTTTTGTTTTCAGCTGCCCGGAATTACATGCAACATAAATAGGGGTGAGGGGCTGGAGAGATGGTAAAGAGTGCTATTCGGTCTTCCAAAGGCCCGGGTTCAATTCCCAGCATCCACATGGCAGCTCACAACTGTCTGTGCCGCCAATTCTGGGGGATCTGTCTGACACCTTCACACTAATGCACGTAAGATGAAAATAAACAAATTATTGAAAAATAAATGGGGGTGAAACTAGAACCCCACTTTGTCCCCCACCTCCGAGACAAGGTCTCATTATGCAGCCTAGGGTGGCCTGGAACCCCCTGGCTCAGCTTCAGTCCCAAGTGCTGGGACTACAAGTATACACCAGCATGCTGAACTAGACTTCTTTTTGCCATAATGGAGGCAGACAAAGTATGTTCATTCCTCAGTCATCCTGAAGGCCTACTATGTGCCTGGCTGGCTTGCAGTTTGCATAAAAGAAGGAGAGAGCATCCTCCACCACAGAAACTCCCAAGGTGGAGCCAGCAAGAGGGCTGGTCAGAGGCGCTTACCACCAAACCTGAGGCTCTGAGTTCTATCCCCGGGACCCACTTGTTAGAAAGAGAAAGCTAACCCCCAAATGATACCCTTCGGCCTTTACATCATGGAACACACACAAACACACACACACACACACACACACACACACACACACACACACACTAAAAATGAAATAAATATTTAAAAAGAAACTACCCAATAAGAACAAAACCCAAACTAAGGGCCTTAGAGCAGCGTTTCTCAACCTTCCTAAGGCTGTGACCCTTTAATACAGTTTCTCCTGCTGTGGTGACTTCCCCCAACCATCAAATTCTCTTCTTTGCTACTTCATAACTGTAATCTTGCTACTGTTCCCAACTGTAAATATCTGTGTTTTCTGATGGTCTTAAATGACCTCTGTGAAAGAGTCATTTGTCCCCCAAAGGGGTGGATACCCAGAGGTTAAGAGCCACTGACCTACTGGATGGGAGAGGGGTCTTGGGGACATTTACCCTGAGTTCTCAAGAAAAGAAGACCACACAGAACTGAGGGAGAAAAGAATTTTTTTTTATTAATCTTTCTTTTTTTAAAAAAAATTGATTTTTTTTAAATATTTTGGTTTTTTTTTAGTTTTTTTTTTTGAAAATTTTTGTGTGTTTTTTTTGGTAAACCTCTTTCTGGCTCCCCTCCCCCACTCTGTCCCACCCTCCTCTTAAAAATATAAAAAATGTCCAGCCCCAGATAACTAGAGTACAATAAATAAACAGTAAACACAAAAACATACTTTATTTGTTTCTTCTTTATACAAAATAAGGAAACTAGAAGCGTCCGACTTCCAAAAAAGTCTAATACTGTTCGTCCTGATGGCCCAGCCTCCAGGCCCCGGGCAGGGAGAGTGAGCAGTGGGCAAACGTCCAGAGACTTGGCGCCCGGCTTAGGGGCAAAGCAGGGGTGGGAGAGTTCGAATCCTGCCAGGCCCCTCAGGCTCAACTATGGAGGAGCGGGGAGTTGGACCCACGCTGGCCTGGTCCTGACCGCGCAGCTTCCTAGACAAGCTGACCTTGAGCCTTAAGATTGGCCGCCAGGGGGCGCCAGCTCGGAGGTGGCTTTTTCTCCGGCAAAGCTAGCACTCACCAGCGGTCCTGTTTTTCTTCTCTGGCTAAGACTTTCCTCATCTCTCTCTCTCTCCCTTTCAATCTCTCTCTCTTTTTTATTTTTTTCTTTTAAAAGAGGAAGAGTGAGAAGTAAGATTTCACAATGCCTCGGCTCGCGGGGAGGGGCGGCGCCGCGGTCTCTGCTCCTCGGTCCCCTCTTAGTGGGAGGTGGTGATGGTGGGTGGGGGTCCGGAGGGCTTCTAGGGTGCGCTTGGAATCTCGACCCTCCGGCGTATTGACTTTGGTCCCGAGGGATGGCGCGAGCGAGCGAGCGAGCGCGCGTGCGCGCGCCGAAGCTCCGAGGGGTGGAGATGCGAGTCTCCGGGTGGCCGGGCGGCGGCGTCCGGGGCTCGGTGGCGGGGGAGGGGGGGGGCGACTGGACGCCCCCGGCCTTACCACACGGCCGCCTCGTTGAGCTCGGGGTTGGGGTGCGACAGGGGTCCGCTGTAGCCGCTGGCGCCGCTCATGGGGAAGGGCGGGCTGGGCCCGCCGCTGAACACCTCTCCCGGCATGGGGTGCAGCGCGCCGGGCAGGCCGGGCTCGGGGCTCGGCGTGTCGGGGTGCGAGATCATGTCGGTGAACCTGGGGTTGTCCGCGCCGTGGGGCCCGGCCAGCGGCGGTTCCAGGGCGCCCAGCGGCGTCGAGCCGGGTCCCGACGCGGCCAGGAAGCTCGAGTCGGCGGGGGACTGCGCCTGAGACGGCGGGCCGTGCGCGAAGAAGTCGTAGTTGCCTCCCGGGGCGTAGTAGTCGCTTTGGTAGTCTGTGGGGGGGGGGACAAGGGGGGAAGAGGAGGCGTGAGGACCGGCTTCCGGGACCCGCGGGCATCTAGGGGCCCCGGGAAGGGGAGCAGCGAGGCCTTCGGTTCAGATACGCAGAGGGCGCGGGAGGGCACGCCGCCGACCCTAGACGTGAGCGGTCTGATGGAGGCGGCCTGACACCCCGGGGATGGACGGGGACCGAGGAGGGCCACGGGTGAGCCTGGGGGGAGAGAGCATGGAAAGGGAGGGACACGGACGAGGCAGGACGCGGAGCCCTAAGGACGCAGGGAGCGAGGGAAGCCAGCTTGGGCGGCGGCCGGTTCTCAGACACCGGGAGCTGGAGACAGAGTCGGCAGAGGCCGGAGGCTCGGGGAAGGGACCACGGCGTGGACAGAGACCCACGGCGGCGGAGGGCGGGGGGAAGGGAGGCGGTAGAGAGCAGCCAGCCCCAGACGGGTCGCCGCAGCCACGAGCAGCCAAGTCCACGCAGAGGCGAGGGCCCAAGGGCAGCAAGAGGAAGACGGGAAGGAAATGAATGAATGAATGAATGAATGAATGAATGAATGAATGAATGAATGAATAAATAAGCAAGCCAAGCCGCGGCCAGGGTGCAAGACGAAAGATTGTGAGGGTAGGAAGACGACGGATGGTCCCAGAGATGGAGAGACCGGGAGGACCAGTAATTTGCCATAGGCTTGGTGGCCGCGAGGCTCCGGGACGAGCGCGCGCGGAGCGAGCGGTGCAAAGCACCGAAGGGGTTCAGACCCCGAGGAGAGCGGGCCCGGCAGCAGCCTGAGCGAGCCAAGCGGTGGGCAGGAGGCCTGGCACGGGGGCGCGAAGAGGGCAGAGCCAAGGACAGCCTCGGCGCGTTTTCTCCTGCTCCTGGAACTGAGAAAGCCAAATTCAATGCCAGCGAGGGGCCCCGCTGTCAGGACCCCTTTCGGGTGTCTGGGGTGGCGGTTCGAGCCTCGGATCTCCAGTCTCTACCCGGAGGGGTTGGCTAGGACACCCAGGTTATGACGAAGTTATTTGGGGACAGGGACGGTTGGAAGAGTTGACACAAATAAATGCACATCCTTCCCACAAATTCGGGGTGCGGGATTCACAGGTCGGGTGCACAAACCGACACAAGCAATGGCTTCTGCGAGCACCTCTGGCCTTGCCCTCCATCACGGCCTCCTCCCACCTTCTGACGGGTCCCTCCGGGATTGGGGTGCAGGACCCTACTCAAAGGAAGGCCCAACGGCCTGTCGAAGGACCAGCCCGCTTTGTACAGCGGAGAAAACCGGCGACCGAGGCCAGGGTCTCTTCTGAAAGCCCACTCCCCTCGCTCAGTCCCGGGGTCCCAGTTCTGGATGTCACCCTCACTCGCAACCCCCCTTTTTTTCCGGACACCCTAAAAGCTATCCAAATCGGGGTATGTGTGTGTGAGGAGGGTTGTAGGGAGACCTTCCTGGAGCGAAGGCAGTTTAGGTAACAGCAGCAACACGGTGGCCAATTGCTTTTTGAAAAACCTCAAATTCCATTATTGTGCCCGAAAGCGAGGAAGGTTTTAGAGAGACAAATTTGGGGGCCCTCAAAGGAACGGAAGGGGAGCGCGCTGCAGCCGGGCAGGCCGCGGCCCTGGAGCCGTGCGCGCCGCCTCCGCCCATATGGCGGCCTGGCCGGAGGTAATTGGAACAAACGCTGTCTGAAAAGGGCACAAAAGCCGCAGCTGGGGCTTTGTCCGCGCTCCCACGGGGAGCCGCGGGCCCCGCCACCCGGCCCCTTTCTCGCCCGCTGCCGGCCGCCACCGCCAGCATCTCCCAGTGCGGATTAGGCGGGGCCGCTGGGCTGGGGGGTGGGGAGTCCTGCTCCCCCCATCCTGGTTTTGGAGAAAAGGGGAGGGGGGTTCTGGTGTCCTGTCCCCCAACCCTGTCCCTCAGGTCTGAAGATAGAAAGGGGCTGGCAGGATCAGTGCGGGGTGGGCTGGTTCCCTGTAAACCTTGATTAATTACTCAGGTTGGGGCGGCGGCGGCGGGAGGGGGGTGTTTCCAGGCGGGCACCGCCCCCGCTATCTCCAGGCTCCGGGTGGAGAATTTTTTGTGCCGGGGACAAGCTAGGTGGAAAGATTAGACGCCCCAGGACACGCCCACCCCCGTCCAGTTCCGGCTTCCCGGGCCGGGCCCCTGCCACCGCGGTAAAATCCCCGGTTCAGGTTTTGCCAGCGATTTCCAGGGGCCTCGGGCCCATCTGCGGCTTAACTGCCCAGGCTTCCTCCTCTGGAGGTCCGGTCTGGGTTCCTACTCTCTCCACTGGTTTTCCTGGCTTTACCGCCTCTCCGTCCTGCCATTGTCCCGGAATCCACTTTTTTTTTTTTTTTTTTAAAAGAAAATTCGCTTCTTGCCTCTCATACTGGGTTTGGAGTTGCCAAAGCAGGCCACCAGCTCAGCGCCGTTTGGTTAGACACTCCCGGGGGCTCCGTGAATGGGAAGGCTCCGGAACCCGGATAGACGCGTCCTTCCCACAGAGGGCTCCTCCCTCCGAAGGGAGCTGGCCCTACCCCGGAGCTAGGAGGAAGGTGGGGGGGGGGGCGAGCGAAGCGAGGGGCTGGCCAAGCGGGCCTTGGTCCATTAACAGCATCGAGGACCTCCCTAGACCCAAGATGTTGGGGAGCGTCAGTCCCCCCCAACCCCATCCGGATTGAGCCCTCCGTGGGCACCGAGATCCACCCGGGCCTTTGGAGCGTTCGGGGTGCCTGTCGGCGAGCAGAGCTGCGGCCTTTGGGGCAGGCTGTGAGGGGGCAGGCTCGCCTCTCCCCCACCGCCCGCCGGCGGGGCTCCAGCCTCTCTCAAGCTCTCCAGGCCGCGGGCTGGGAACAGTGGAAGTGAAGCAATGTGGGCTGCGGAGAGGTGCTTGGGGGTCAGCGGCGCGGCCCCAGCGTGACCGCCGAGTGTGTATCCGGAAGGGAGTGGAGTGGACTCGAGTGTGGTACCAGCCGGAGGTCGGCCGGCGAGTCCGCGCGCGCGCGCGCGTGTGTGTGTGTGTGGGGGGGGGGCGGGAGTGCTCAGAAGGTCCCTGTGGGTGAGTGGGTGAGTCTGTCTAGGAAAGGGTTTGTGCGCATCCTGCGTGGGTGCCGGGGGGGGGGGGGAAACTAAGGGCTGCCCTCCCGTGGCCCCAAAGGCTAGGAAGCCCAGAAGAGCAGAGCGTCCCCGGGTGCCCCCTTACCTCCGTAGTAAGTGTACGGGGTGGACCCCAACATCTCAGACTCGTCCAGGCGGCCGCCCAGGGGACGCATGCGCCGTGGACTCCGGAAGAAGGCGTGTCTCCGGGCGCCCAGGGCGCTGAGCTGTTTCATGCGGCGTTCTTTGGACCGTCGGTTCTGAAACCACACCTGGGGCGAGGGAAGGGGCAGTGAGCTCGGGCTCAGCAGGGCCCTCCCTCCTCCCGTCCCGCTGAGGCTGGCCCTGCTGGGTCCCGGAGCCTCGGGGCGGCCGCGCCACGACTCCCCCGAGGCGAGGGCTGGTCCGGATTAGTCCAGGAGGGGCGGAGAGGGGCTTGGGCGAACCAGTCAAGGGTGAAGGATTTCGTGGACCCGTGGGGTGATTCATAAAGACCCCGGCTTCTCGGTCCTCCGCTGGCCCGGGGCCTGACGGCTTTATAAAGGCTTCCTGCCCGGCCAGGCCCTCGCCCCCACGGCCGCCGAGCCCAGCCCCGGCCGACCGTCGCTTTGCCAGCGTCCGGTGGCGCAAAGACTTCTCCCCTTTCTGCGCTTGGAGAGGAAGGGGTCCGGAACGGCCGGAGAGGCTTCAGCCGTTAGGAGCTGCTCAGGGAGGGGAGAGGAGGTGGACGGCCTTTCCCAGAGGTCTCTGGCGACGTCGTTCAAAAACCACATCGCCAGGACAGTGGGACCGAGTCAAATCCTTCGTCTCAAAGTTTCCCTGCTTCCAAAGGGGACCCAGATGGCCCCAGTCTCAGCGGCACGACCGTCCCTACGTACATAGGTTCATCGCGTTCCCAGGGTAGGCGGCCCCGTGACGCCCGCCCGCTGGCCGGGAAGGCTGGCCTACCCGTCGTCGTACCTGAATGACTCTCATGTTGAGGCCGGTCTCCTGAGCCAGCTGCTCGCGGATGTGGCGCGTGGGCTTGGGCGTGGCCGCGAAGGCCGCCTTGAGCGTCTCCAGCTGCTTGGCCTTGATGGTGGTGCGCGGGCCGCGCCGCTTGGTGCCGGAGTTCTGCTCCTCGTTCTCGTTGTTGGCGGTCTCCTTGTCCGATGAGGTCGAGTTGTCGGTCTCTTTGGGGTCGTCCTGTAACGGGTCCTGGAGGTCTGGGGACAGACTGCGGTCCGTACAAGACGACACTGCGGGGCGAGCGGGGTTGGGGACGGGACAGCGGCGTCAGCGCGGTCTGCCTCCGGTTCGGAAACCGGTCCCTGAAGACCCCAGGCCCTCTGCCTTGGGCCCCAAACTAGGGACTACCCCTTCCCCGGACTCCCTCCAGGCCCGGCTTGGTTTGAAAGGACCGCCTCAGCCCCTCCGCAAGTCCGCAGCTCCCGAGAAACGGGGCACACCCCCTCTGAAAAAATCTTTTCTGCCGGGGTGGGGACAGAGACGGGTACAATCTGCCTCCTCTCATGCCCTGTCCCGTCTCTCTTTCCTCTAAACAGCTGTGAGCCTGCCGGGTTCTCAAAGGACCCCAAAGGGAGACTTATTATTTTTTTAGAGAGAGCGGGTGGGGTTCTAGAAGATGAGCCTGGCTCCGGGGTTCCCTGAAGCCTCCCAGCTGATGGATCTCGGGCTCCCCGGGCGACGGCTGAGAGTGTCGGGGTGGCTGTGGCGGAGAGCCGCGCAGGGCTGAGGCCTGCGTACCTGAGTTGAGGCTTCCCTCCTTGAGGCTGGAGGAGCTCAGGTAGTCGTCCTTGCACACGAACTTGTTCTCGTCGATGACGTACAGCTCCTCCCCCGTGGACAGCTGCTTGTTGCACACCATGCAAGTGAAGCAGTTGAGGTGGAAGACTTTGCTCCGGGCCTTGCGCACCAGGTCGCTGGGAGAGATGCCTTGCGCGCAGCCGGCGCACTTGGTGCCAAAGCGCCTGTGGACACAAGGCTCCTGTCAGTGCGGGGTGAGGAGGTGGGCCCCCGTGTCCGAGTCCTCTTCCAAACCGCTCTGCCTTCCCACACACCCCTACTTCCGTATCTGTCAAACAGGAGCCTAATTCTGCTCGCTCTCCGCAGGGCTGGTTTGGGGGTGACTGTGGCCTTTTAGTATGTTGGTTTGGGCTCTGTGGGGGCTGGGATCGGATGGGCTGAGTGTACAGCTCTGAGTGCAGACAGGGGTTAGGATGTCCCAAGGTCCTCCCCTACCCTCAGGTCCCCACCAAATCTACCTTGGCTGTTTCAGGAGCCCACAAAGGGTTTTAAGCCCGTAGAGTACGTTTCTACCATTCTTAGCTTTGCCTCCTGGATTGGGGAGTGTGTGTCCCAGATAAGGACACCGTGGCTGTCTGTCTGTCTGACCGTCTTTAGCAGCAGGGTGGAAGATCTAAGCAGGAATGCCACAATCTCCTTGTGATTCTGGCTACCTGGGAGATCTCCTGGACCCTCCCCCACCCCAGGAGCTGTGCATAGAAGGTTCTCAGAGGACTACATTCTGGAAACAGGAAGTCAGTTTCTGCACACACACACACACACACACACACACACACACGCACACACACCCTCCTCCCCCATCTCTAGCCCTGGCAGGTGGCAGGAGAATGGGGATGGAAGCTGATTTTAGTCCTGCCCAGCCAGGACCTGGGATCACTCTGAAACCCGATTTTCCTTGCCTCCGAACAAATCCCTTTTCTTCCTTGGGCCCTGGAAGAAAAGACCCCCCTCACAAACACAATGGGTGGCACAGAATGTAAAGAAAGGGGTACAGGTCATGTGGGGAGAAAGAAGAGGGCTCAGAACCCCGAGGGACCCCTTCATCCACTCACACCCATGTCTCTAAACAGAGTGAATTTGGGTGACATTGATGTAGTGAGGGCATTAGAAACCATAAGTCACTTTTGGCCTTATCCGGCTGCATAATTGGCTATATACACCTTATCAAAAATCATTAGGTGCTTTGCAAGCATGCCACATTAGGGGCGCCAGGGCCTCTGGGGCCGGGGAGTTTACACGTGTAAAGGCGCGGCTGACATTTTCTCCTATTCAAATTCCCAAGTGCCGGGCCACTGGGGCAGGCTGCCTTTCTCCTCCGCCGAGCTAATCACGCCCCCTCAGTGCCTGGAATTCAGACTCACAAAGCCAGTCTGGGTGCCCGGTGGAAACAGGCAGAAAGCACAGTTAGTGGGGAAGGGTGGGTGGGGGGTGGGGACCCACGGGTTTCTAGGCTGCCTTTTAACATTTTCCATTTGGGGAAATTGAGGCCTGCATAGGCATTGGGTCCTGGCCTGAGGGGGGGGGGGCATAGGGACTTGGGAAGAGAGGTGACACCTTGCAGAAAAGACCTGCTGGTTCTCAGCTTCCATTTCTTCAGTGCCTCTCCAACTAGGGAGAAAATGGATCAGGGTGGGGGTGAGGAAAGGGGAAGGGAAGGGGAAGGTTCTGTTCTTGTCCGCATCTCCAGAAGACCCCCTTCTTGGCTAGGACCCTTTGGGACCGGGAAGTTTCTATTTGTCCTCAGATTACCCTCTGGGCTCAGGGTTCCTGTTGGGAACAAGAAGCCCTCAGCTGCTTTGAACTCCTGCAACATCTTTGGGATCTGGGGGGAGGGGGGAGAGCTCGAAGCTTCTGTCCTGGACACTCAGGTGTGGGGAAAAGGCCCCGAGAGCAAGTTGCTGACTTTCCAGCCTCTGCCATCTGGCCGGTCTCTGCCCCCTGGCAGACCCAAGGTGAGGCAGCCAAGCAGCGTCCTTCTTCCTCGCCTTCGCTTCAGAATCCCACAAGCAGAGGACAGGGCTGGGGGTGGGGGGGCAGAGGCCTGTCTAACCCCAACCCCAGGCTGCGGTGCGCCTTTGGTTCCCCTAATTCCCGAGGAGCCCGGGAGTGGAGCTCCGGCCAGCCAGCGGCAGGCGGCAGGGCGCGGCGGGGGCCGCTTACCTGAAGAAGTCGTTTTTACAGTACAGCTTGCCCTCCCGGGAGAAGCACTTCTCCGAGAGGTTCGTTTTGCACTCGCAGCACTGAACACATTTGATATGCCACGCGCGGTCCAGCACGTTGAGCAGGAAGCGGTCGAGGATGGGCCGCTCACAGCCGGCACAGTGCACCATCATAGCCGCGCGCCCCGGCGGCTCCGGCCGCCTGGTCCTCCTCGGGGGGCCCCTGGGCCCTCAGGGCCTCCCGGTCCCCGCCGCTGTGGCTCTCAGCCTTCCCGGACCCTGGGCCTCGGCAGGGGAGAGTCGGGTACCGATCGACCAAGACTTCCCGGGCTCGAGTCCTCCGACGCTCTCCGGCCTGGCGCTGCGCTGCGCTGCGCTGCCCGGAGTGGCGTGGCAGGCGGCGGCGGCGGTCACGGTCTCATGCCACGGGGTGGGCGCCCCGGCGCGCTCGCTCCAGCCTCGAGCAGGTGTCCCCGGCGGCTGCTGGCTTCGGCGCTGGCGAGCGGCTTTCCCGGTTGGCGGAGGCGCCGGCACTTTCCCCCACTTTCAAGCGGTCCCGATCCTCATCTTTGTCTGGCCGCCGCCTAATTCGCGCATCCTTATTCAGATTTGGTGACGTGGTGCGGCACGTAGGGGGCCGGGCGGCCAATGGGCGCGCCGTGGCCATAGCAACCCCTTAAATTTATAGCATATCTAAATTGGCTACAGCGTTGCGCTCAGGACAGAGCAAAAAAAACAAGACATCAGTATTGCCGAGTATTTGCTAGTACCTGGTTCCCAAGCTAAGTAAGTATTTACCTTCCAGTTTGGGCCCGGAGGGTGGGGGCGCGATCCGAAAACCGCGGGTTTTCTCTCGGCAATTTTTTTTTTTTTTTTAAATTGGAGGCAGGGTTTCAAGGCCTACTCAGGGAGGGACCTCCCACCCGGCTTGCCGCCCTCGCAACCTGTAGAAGTTCCCCGGGCCGGGAGTGCTCTGTGGTCCCCGCTTCCGAACCCGGCCCGCTCGCTCTTGCCTTCCACTGCGGCTCGCCCAGGCTCTGAGCGCGGGAGCTGAGGGAGCCGCTACTTCTCCGGCTGTGATTTCTTTTGTCACACGCGGGGCTGGGGCCCAGCGGTCGGGAAGCTGGGGTAGTTATTTGTCCCTCTTGCCCCACACCCCAGTCAGTCGGGTTGGGGCAGGGATGTCACCTGCTCTGGGGAATTCAGAAAGTCAGGTCAAAGTAGAGCCCAGCTGGCCAGGCACTGGGGGAGGTGAGGAGGAGGGGGTGGTCTAGTCGGGTGCCAGTTCCAGCAGGTAGGTTGGAGGTGGCAGTTCATTACGCCTTTCTCTGCCACCTCATCGGGTTCCAGGCCAGCCTGGCGGGGAACCGTGGGTCACTCTGCAGGGCTAGGGAGGCTGGCCACCGCCGGGTGCCATAGGCAATCCCGGTCCGGAGGGCTCTGAGTTCCTAGGGCCACAGGCAGCCTTGCAGGTGTGTGGGTGCCTGCTGGAGAACGCCCGAGCAGGGGCTCACGGGCCTGGAGGGGAGCAAAGGGACCAGGCCTTGTTTCTACGAGGCCAGCCAGGCCACCGCCTGCTTCTGGTGAGGTAGGGTGGGAACGCTTTCTGGATATTTGCTTGTTGCTGGGTAGACCGCTCCTGCTACGGGGCCGGGGCGGGCCGGGGCCCAAGGTCTGGAGCCATTTGGGCCAAGACTTGGCTGTGAATGTTTGTTTGGGTGTACTTACTGAGTTTGTGAGTGTACTTCCGCTGCTTGGCAAAGATCATTTTACTCTGTTTAGCGTGTTCGTGATCAAACCTTGAGACCCGGAGGGCTTTCGGTTCTGTTGTTTCTGGCGCGTAAATTTTGGTGTTTATAATCTTCTGTGATCCTGTTTGGTTGTGTGTTAACACGTGCGTTAAAGTGATTTGTCCGTCTGTGTGAGTGTGCTGGGTGTGAGAGGGTATGCTTGCTAGTGAAAGGGCATGGCTCGAGCAAGTGAGGTGACGAGGTGACGGTGTTTACGCAGGAGCTAACGCTGATGGAAAAGTGTACTGTCCTGCCTGAGTGTGTTTCTTTGTAAGTGTGTGCCAGAAATCCTGTGTGTGGCTGAGCGGAGCTGTGTGATTCTGGGCATAGAATTTTGTAGCTTCTCTTCTCTCTCTCTCTCTCTCTCTCTCTGTGTGTGTGTGTGTGTGTGGACAGTGGTTATTTACACGAGTGTTGCAGGAATGGAGGGATGTGTACCTCCATTTGTAGGAGTACCACTAGCAGTGAGTATCTCCTTGGGTTAGGGGGGAAATATTTGAGAAGAGCCTCATCAGCTGGGCCTTGGGAAAAGGTTTCCTCCTTCTGTGTGTGAGCACGTCACCTGACCAGTAGTTTGTCAAGGGGCTTGGCACCTGCAGTGTGGTGAGACCCAACAGTCTGAATCACACTTGGGCCTCTCAGGCCTGTGGAGAGAGCTTCTGGAAGCCTCCGAAGGAAGCTTTGGGGGAGTGTCTGTCCGGTGCAGGACTGTTCCCTGAGCTTCGGCAGGAAGCAGAGGAAAGATGGACGGAGGAGCCCAGAGAAGAAGGGCGCCACACAGGCTCCCAGGGGAGGCCAGCCGCTGCTCTCGCTCTCTTGCCTTTGTCTCTTGGAGGTTTCCCTCAGCTTCCCACTTCTCCTGGAGTTATTCTCTCCTTAGCTCAGTGGCTCCTCCTTTTCTGTTTCCCTGGTTCCTCTCTTTCTTTTTCTCTCTCTGGTTCCCCCTCTCTCATTTTCTCCTTTTCCCTCTGCCTTTTTCACCCGATTTGGAGTCTGGCATCCATCAAAACACTTCAAAGGCCGCCTCATGGCTGCTGAGACGCTCGTGGAGAAGGCTCACACTGTGCTACCCCACAGTCACCCAACCCTCCTCCCCAGCACCCCTCCCTCATTGTGGCCACCAAAAGGAATCTAAGGTGCCAGACCCCTACTGTCTCCCCAACCAGGGTTCTGCCCGCCCAGCCCTGTCTGATTCTCCACTCTTGGACAGACCCACCCTCGGGATTCTCCTGGAACTTCCCTGAACGTGAAAGCGAGGCTGCACTCCAGCAACTGAGTGCCAAGCCAGGGAGGGAACTGTAGGAGAGAACAACCACCCGGGGGTCCCCGAGCTTGGTTGTGGGTGGGCCACCCGGGGCTGAGCTGCTACTTGTAGCATGCAAGGGTTGGTGGGGCTTCTAGAAGTGCCCACAAGGGCCCAAAGGACTTGCCTATTCACACCCCTTCGAGTCATCTGGGCACCTCACGCATCGGTATAGCTCAGCCCCACTCCCCCCCTGCAATTCCCCCCTTCGTGGCAAGCCAAGGCAGCCTCCTCCACGCCACTACCGCATCCAGAAAAATAGCAGGCCAGCTATTTTATATAGCAATCCCACCCGAACAGCGCTGACAGATGGCCGCCCGGCAGTGAAATTCCCTCCTCTATGTAACTAATAAACGCTTGTGTCTTAACAGGGTGATGCGCCAAGACTCAATGTCACTTATACAAGATGTTGATGGAATTTACTATATATAAAAAAAATCTCCCTTCTAGAGTAAAGAGTATCAACATTACAGCTCGACAGACGGTACGGGGATAAATGAAACAGACAAAAGACAAACAAGATAATAATCTGTTTCCAATCACTTAAGCCCTGTAGAGTTAGTAAAATGTTCCTTGCATATTCCCCCCTGAGTTCGGTAATTAATTACTGGCGAAGAGACGCACACCTCCCGGCTGGAGTTTCGAGGCCCGGAGAGCTTGGGCGTGGGGGTGTCTTTTTCTCCTGGCCTCCAGCCGGGGACACTGGACAGTGGCAGAGGAAGGAGGTTCCTCTTGAGCCGGCCCGAGCAGGACATTTCCGTTGGGTCTCTGCACCTCTACTTTTCCCCAAGCCCTGGAGATTCTTCAGCCAAACAAGAAAGGGGCCATCTCCGACTGCTCCAGTCCTCCTAAGTCTTCTGAAGTCGCTGCTGCCACCCTACCTCAGAATGGCCTGATTGGCCTGTTTTTATTTTTTGTTTTTTATTTATTTATTTAATTTTTTTGGAAGGGGCAGGCTGGAGGTCCTGTGCTGACTCGCGCGGGGGGAGGGAGGAATCCTGGAGATTCGCCCCTTCCCCTTCTCTCCCGGAAGCATCTCAGGTGTCGCAGCAGCCGGGCCTCTCCCGACCTCGATCATTACCCCCCCATCATGCATCCTCATCTATCTCCCCCCCCCCAAGAGCCAGCGAAGCTTTAACATTAAACAAACGCAGCGAGCGCCTGGGAGCTGCGCTCTCGGCCGGGTCCGCGCGGCTGCGGCGGCGGCGTTACAAATTGTAAATTTAAATTGCTCTCCGGATTCATTACTTCCCCTCTTTGATTTCAGCCAGCCGTGAAAAATTATACTGGTGTACCACTGAGAAACTGCTTTGCCGCAAAGAGCCTGCGCCTAATCACTGGCTTTCTCCCTCCGACAAGAGTGTAATTATTTTGTTTTGGGTGTAAATATAGGCGGCCCCGCGCGCAGACACTCAGCATCCCGCCGCGCAGGGCCCGCCGCCCAGAGGCACCCGCCCGGGGTACGAGCCGGCCTTGGTGGCCGGGCCCGAGCGAAGCCCGCCGACCCGGTCTCCAGTCTCTGCCCTAGGACTTCCCGAACCTCAGCCATTCAAGCCCAGCCGGGTGCACTCCGGCGAGGTGTGCTGTGTGGGTCAGGGCGCAGGGCCAAGCCCGGAAGACTGCAGTGGAGTGGGAGAGGATGAGGAGTCTTGCCCCCCCGCCCCCAGGACCCACAGAGCCGAATGGAGCCCGGAGTCTAGGTCCAAGTAGGGACAGTGTATTGGCCTAAGAGGGACAAGGGAGGAGGAGCTGGGAAAGCTGATGGGCTCTCCTCTCGCCACATCGTGAACTACTGGGTTTCCTGAGCATCTCTGCAGGGCTCTGGGTCCTCCTGTAACGGCAACACTCTGGAACTAACCGGCTTTTAAAACTGTGCGGGGCCCGGACCTGGGTCGTTTGCAGACCGGCCAGGGCCTCATCCTCGCCCTCTCTTCCATCTTTCCCTCTTTCCACTTTGGGAGGTAACACCAGGAAGACCGTTTCCCCAACATGTGGCGGGGGAGTGCTAAGTCTGAAAGACGTCTTCCAATATCTCAGCCTCCTGCTCAGACCGCTCAGGGGCGGGGTGGGAGCCGGACCGCCGACAGCAGCAGCACCCCTAAGTTACCAGACAGGAAGACATCCAGGGGGTCAGCTGGGAAGTCGGGCTCTGCTTTGGTGACGCCATGCCCCAATCGCCCAGAGATCCCAAACACGCAGAGCAGGGAGTGACCCTCCCACTCTTTATCTTCCCCAGGACCCCCACCCTTAGGCTCTTGGGACCCCCCCTCCCCAGCAGGCTACTGTGAGACACCCTTTCCTAGGGCAGAATTCAGGCTCCGCGGAAGCCAGAGCCTGGGTTGGTCCCTCTCAGCAAGAAGGTGACTTGGAAGAGAGAGGACGAAGCCACCCCCCCCCACCCCCAACTTGTAAGCGAAACTGACATTTTGCTTAGCGGGGGTGGGGTGGGGGCGCGCACGCGCACTGTGGTTGGTTGCCGGTTTCCCTGTGCCCGGCTGGGGTGAGAGTTGAGCCTGGCTGGGCAGCTTGGCTTCTCTTACGGGGGAAGCCCAAACGCTGGTCCCGCAGCGTGCAGAATCCATCCTTGGGAACCTGGGAGTGGCTTCTATGAAGTCCAAAGAGGATAGTGGGCCTGGGATGGTCCTCCAAATGCGAGTCTCTGGCACACCTAGCCTGAATCTGAGTTTTGTCTT